AAGGCAGAGTTTGGAATCAGAGAGACACAAAGTATTAACCGCCAGTCCATGTAATCAATGTAAGTGAGACGTCTCATTAAACACACCAGCATAACTAAATGTGTACATGTGTGTAACATGCATGTGCAGCCACACATGGATGCAGACTAAGAATACCTCCGCAACATCTCCAAGATACGGCCGCTCTTTACCTCGGAAACTACTAAGCAACTTATTCACTCCCTTGTTATCTCTCGCCTTGACTAGAGTAACTCCCTCATTGGTCTACCTCATTGCAGGCTATCCCCTCTTCTTCAGTCTATCATGAATGCTGCTGCCAGACTCATCCACCTTACTAACCGTTCTGTATCTGCCACCCCTCTCTGCCAATCCCTCCACTGGCTTCCCATTGCCCAACGGATAAAATTAAAAAACGTTAACAATGACATATAAAGCCATTTATAACTCTGCCCCAAATTACATCACCAATCTTGTCTCCAAATATCACCCAAGCCGTACTCTACGCTCCTCACACGACCTCCTGCTCTCCAGCTCCCTTATCTTCCTCCTCCCATGCTCGTCTCCAGGACTTCTCCAGAGCTTCCCCCATCATCATCAAATTGCACTGCACACAATTCGCATGTGATTTGCGCAGGTATTTGGTGCGGATCCTATGCGAATCACATGCGATGTACCGCACCGCATGAGTGTGAACCTAGCCTTAATGCTGTTCTAAGATGCCTGTTGAGGACTTGTCTATATCCCATAGTGCAAGGTTGGGTTTGTGTGTAGCCCTGTCTTGTTAGTCACTTCAGCTTCTTATTAACAAAACAACATATCAGTGTTTATTAGTCCCATTCTCAAGTTTGAGCATAAATAGCATAAATTAAGTTTTATGTGCATTTTGAGGAGCATTTCTTCCGAGTTATTTAATCAATATAGAGAGACATATGGCGGTTGTGGAGCATCTGGTGTAAGTCTAGGATATGAATAGATCGGAGCTGCCTGGGGTATATGGGGGATTGCAGTGAAGTTTACAGAAGTTATGATTTACTGGGGAGTTTGCTTTGTTCTTCTACATAGGTAAATATTGTGCAGGTGGTAGCCAAAGGGAGAGTTTTGTGTGATGAATTGGCCGAAGGGAGAGATTACGACAAGACAACTGCACACATGCCGATTTGTCTTTTCTATACGGTGATAGGTTTTGTCGTTTCACGGATCACCTATGATTCTGTTAGGATGAAAGCACTCAGGTATGCAGTGTTTGGTTTTTTTTGCTGTGTTTTGATGTAATGGAACTGAATTTTAAACTGCTCATATTGTCCTTCCCCCTGGTTCCTTCCTACCCCCTTCTTATCAACATGCTAATGACTTTTATCCTTTCAAGTTTCATGACATACCTTATTCAAAGCGGAGTTCCACTCAAAAGCGGACGCTGCACTTATTTACCTACACCCCTCCTCCACTGCCATATTTAGCACCTTTTGGGGGGGAGCGGGTTCCTGGTTTTGACAGGTACCCACTCCCACTTCCGGCTCAGTTCGCCGTGGCAAAGTTTGGCCCCCTCCTCCCGCCCACAGGCTCCTGGGAATATTCACAGGTCCATGGAGACTGCTGGACCAATTAGGAGGCGCAGAGCAACTCGCGCATGCGCAGTGGGCACCAGGCTGTGAAGCCGCAAGCTGTCACAGCCTGGTGCCCACAGTTGAGATGCTGGCGCCGTGGAGGAAAGAAGGAGAGAAGGGACGGCGCGGGTGAGAACATCGCTGGACTCTGGGACAGGTAAATGTGTGTTTATTAAAAGTCAGCAGCTACAGTTTTTGTAGCTGCTGACTTTTAATAAACACTGAAACGGCTGGAACTCCACCTTAACATCAAGTGATGTCATCACTGTGTCTCTGCACATCTCTATGCAATAAAACCAGATGATGGCTGCTGGTAGGGTACTGTACATTAGCTTCTTGAAAACATCACAGCACCCTGACTCATTACTCCCCTTAGAGCCCCCAGCCCTGATGCAATCAGTGATCTGGTACATTTAAGGAGTTGTGTGTGTGCAGTAAAATCATACTTAGCACTGTTAGGAGAGGAGCCTGTACATATGTGCAAGTCTGAAGGTAAGGCTGGTGTTAAAGAAGAATTCCAGAATTTTTTTTCTCCCGTGCAGTGGGGCTGTGCCTGCACTGCATGGGTTAACTGCTTGTTGTTGGCCAGAGATATACTTACCTAATTTGCCGATTCTCTCAGTGCATGACCAGTCCCTGCCACTTGTGATCTTGTGAATGGACTGTTCCTGATGTCATCACGGCCATAGACAGCTCTGGACGTGAGTAATGGCAGGAACAGTCCACCGCTGGACATGGGGGAGTGCAGTTTTCCGGAGGATCGAAGGATCAAGTAAGTATAGCCTTCCTGTGTGTCCCTGGACAAAACAAGCAGTTAACCAATGCAGTGCAGGTACTGCCCCACTGCTTGGGAGAAAAAACTAATTTACATGGAGTTCTGCTTTAAGGTATTTTTTTGCAAACAGCTATATATAAAATATATAGTCCCTACAAACCTCTTCTTTCCGGTGCTTTAATTTTAATGGAAATGTAATTAATATTCCAGCTAGTAAACATGAACAGTAAAGGGACAAGACATATGTAACATACAAATACTTTTGCCTATATTTCAAATCATTCACTTAGCACCTGCAGCCTAGTTCACATTCGACCTAATACACAATATGCATATTTTCTACTGTATCTATTGATAAATTCCCAATGGGGAATTCACATTCCCTTTGCACAACTACTACGCAACTCACACAGTTCTTACTTCACCTAGTTACTAGGGCTCAATTCAAATGCCACCGACTGCCCTGCATAACTGATGAGAAATGATTTTACTCTATTTGTACTCTCACATATAGGTGTCCGTTTATGAACCAGCGGTAATAGATCGCTGCTCAGTTCTCCGGCATTCTCGGAGAACACAGTTCTCATGTGAATGCAGTTTATGAAGCAGTTCTCCCGAACGAAGGGAACGGTCTCCAAACGCTGGAGAACGGTCTACAAACTCTGGAAAACGCTGATTTTACTATAATCTCGCGAGATTACAGTAAAAGATCAGTTTACTAAACAGAGGTAAATTATTGCTGCTTAGTTTGCGGTCCCTCTGATTCTCCAGCTCTGGGCTGGAGAATCTGGAGGGAGAACACAAATCTCCAGCGAAGGGCTGACATGATCTCCTGAGTGTCATAAACTGTGAATGACCAGAGAATAGCTGAGATCCGTTGAATCGCAGCTATTCTCTGTGTCATAAACGGACACCATAGGGGGAGATTTACTAAAACTGGTGCATCGGGGCAGCTGTGCATAGTAACCAATCAGCTTCTAGATTTTATTGTCAAAACCTAATTGAACAAGCTGAAGTTAGGATCTGATTGGTTACTATGCACAGCTACACCAGATGATGGGTGCACCTGTTTTAGTAAGTCTCCCCCACAGTATACCAGGTTGTGCCGTGTGCCAATCTAATAGGTTTAAGATGCAGCAAAAATATTAATGTTTTCAACATTTTCTTATTATTTGCATCATTTTTAAATAATTTATATTTTTTTCTAAATTTCTGTGTCAGTATTTGTTAGAAAGTCCAAAATTAAAGGGAAAAAGTTGCTGGTTTACGGGCATCAAACACTATACAGCAGCAGCATCAAGTGATCACTTCTATAATCAAAGTACAGCAGTAGTAAAAATGTATTTTTTCATTACCGAAGTACAGTTTTACTACATAATATGCATGTAACTGCCATTTGGAAATTGAGTTAAAATTGTTAAAGGGACTCTCTCTTGAGAAAAATATGGCAGCTGCCACTGTTGACCTCTCTTGGAAATGATTGTTTTCTGGTGGTGTTTGGCTTTAATTTTGAATCACATTCTCAGAACAAGCATGCTGTAACTACATCTACTTCTGGAGGAAAAGAGAATTAACCTTTACATATAGAAAGGCTTCTTTCTTCACAATAAGAGCTGTGAAAATGTGGAATAGACTCCATCAAAAACTAGTTCTGGCCAGCTCAGTAGACTGTTTTATTTTAAAAAAGAGCTGGATGCATTCCCAAATGCACAAAATAACTAGATACTAATTTTCTGAGGTAATAACTCAGGGGTAGTTGATCCAGGGAATATCCGATTGCCTTTTTGGGGATAAGTAAGGAGTTTTTCCCCCCACTGGAGCAAATTGGATCATGGTTTATTGGAGTTTTTTTTGCCTTCCTCTGAATTAACTATGGGTCTAGGATATCATATATGGAGGTTTTGGGTTTGTGTTTTATTTATTTATTTAATTGGTTGAACTAGATCAGGGGTCTCCAAACTTTTTAAACGAAGGGCCAGCTTACTGTCCTTCAGGCTTTAGGGGGGCCGGACTGTGGCCAGTGTGAATAGAATATGTCCTGGCATTAGTGGGAGTAAACATTGCCCCATTATTGGTATTAACAGGATAAATGGTGCCCCATGGTTGGTTTTGACAGGAGGAATAGTGCCCCATGGTTGATATCAATGGAGGGAATAGTGCCCCATTGATAGTGTCAATGTTCATTTATGTTCATTTATGTACAGTGTTGCAGGACTGCGCAGTTGTCTTTTAAAGTAACACAGTGCCGTATCACAAAAATTTCCAGATCATGAAGGGAAGTAAATCTTCCGGAAGGCAAGTGGTTAATACAAGAATTTGCATGTTTTGGGAGCTAGAGCTCAGCTTTAACCTCCCTAGCGGTATTCCCGAGTGTAGCTCGGGGTAAAGTTTCAGTACCACAAGCGGTAAACCCAAGCTACACTCGGGAATACCCTGCGGCGCTGCTCCGCGATCCCTCGATCACTTACCTTGTCCTGCGCTCCCGCAATGTCCCTCCTGCAGTGTCCCCGGCAATGTAATCCGGCGGATGCTGGCATCTGTCTTCTGGGTTTCGTCCCCTGCGAGCGTCGGGAAGTATGGGAGACGGAACGGCGGGAAATTTGAAAATGACAAAAAGTGACATTCACTAAAATCACATAGTAAAACATTACTGTATCAAACCATTTCACATACATTTTGTCCCGAGTGCTTTGTCCTGTGCCCTGCCTGCATTTTCACTGTTCTTTCTGCCTGGAAACTGAGAAACGTCCATGGCGTCCAAAAAGCGTCCCTTTAGGTCAAAAGCGGTTTTAGACCAGCTAGAGAACAGCGATAGTAAATTAGAACTTACTTGCAGAATTGAGTGATAATGATTCGTGGGGAAATTCGTCATCAGACACTGAAAACGATTTTGCGACTTTTCTCAGTGATGTGCGAACTTGGCGCTATATTTCAAATGTCAGTGTTTTTGGTTTGATTATATTATTACATTAAATTTATTATTATTATATTATTATTTTTTTATGATTATTTATTAAATTATAATTTATGATTTCGTGTTTCAAATTTTATCATATCCGGGATGTTTACTAGACTCTTGTTCGTACAGATTTCAGTGAGTTATTCCTAAAAATAACAGGCCTACAATAAAAAAAATACATAATTCCATGCAAAAAAATGTACCACTTTGAGCACAGAAATATGGACATAATCAGACCGCTAGGGAGGTTAAACAATGGCAAATCCATACAAACAAACCATAGAATAGGAAATGAAAGCACTGATGGAAGGAGGAGTTCAAAACCATGGACAGCTCCTTAAAAATCAACATTCATTAACAAGCTGTAACATGTAGTATTTGCTAGACTTTTTCAGAAATACTAAAAAAAAAACTGTTGTGTTGACCTTCATTGGCTTAAAGTGGTACTGATATAAATGTGAATATTTTATTTAAAAATCTTAGAAAAACAATCTGTAAAAAAATATTAACACTACCCATATGTGTTCATATGTACTATTTGTGTCTCTGTGTGATGCAGTTGGTAAAAATAAATACATTTATTGCATACGATGAGAAATTGTGTGGGAGGTATTACAGATGAATGTTAGTGGAAAAGGTGAAGATGAATAATTCAAGAGAAAAGTAAAAATTATAATATAATTAATCCTATAGTGTACAATAATTGTTTACATAAGTAAATGCATTAAAGTGGCTGCCAAGTTTTTTTTTTTTGTTTACCTTAATGCTTCTCTGCATTCAGGCAAATAACCTTCTGTCTTTCTCTGTAGAATGAAGATATTTGTTATGTATGTTCATCCTATATATCTTTTTGCCGCAGCTCATTTTTAATACTCTTTCACCACTTGCACGGTATCCTTTTTATTTATTTTCACGGAAAAAAATCTTGTGTGTGCAGCCCCCCCCCCCCCCTTATACTTACCTGAACCCAATCTCGATCCAGCCCTGTGTATGAGAGCAGTGGTTCTCTCCCTCCTCACAGGGCAGATTGATAGCATGAGAGCCATTGGCTCCTGCTGCTGTCAATAAAATCCTGTGAAGAGTGAGGGGGGGGGGGCTGAGCTGTGAGCAGTGCTATCTGTGTCAATGGACGCAGCCAGCGCGGCTTGGGATTGAGCCTGCAGGTGTGCCATCATAAGAAGTGGCTTCCTATGGTGGCACACTAAGAAGAGGAAGAGTCAAGAGTGCTGTGGGGGACTCGAGAAAAGGAGGATTGGGGCTACTCTGTGTACAACCATTGCACAGAGCAGGTAAGTTTTATAAAAACAAAATCAGGTTTATAATCATTTTAATAACTTAATGGCTCACAGATAATTTGGCCTTGCATCATGATAATGTATCAGACATAAATTATTCAACCTGGCTGTATATGGGGTGAATGTTGTATTATGTTGCAGCATTAATATGGACACTAATTGTTAGTTCACATCTATGTTCACTTTTTTATGGATTTCCTGTAAGTATTATATAATTTTATGAAGAAAATAATGTGCTGATATGTTTCTGTACAAGTATTTTACTTCTGTATTCACCTGAAAATAAAAAGTAATTAGAAAGAAAAGATGGATGGTTTTCAATAACAGGGAAAAAAGTACCTCTTGTCTAAGGCAATTTGGTTTTATATTCTAAATGTAGAAAGATATTTTTAGCTGATCAGCTTTGAAGTATATATAGTAAAAGCCAAACTACTGTACCTAGCCTTCAAATGGACATAAAGTATATCTGAATCTATAAAAATGTGTGTTTGTGTGTGTATATTCAATTTCAGTAGAATAGATAATGGGTACAACTGTTGTTGTTTTTGTCTTTCTTTATTGGGGAGAATTACCTTTACTTCCTGCCCCATAGACAGAACCGAAAGTGACAGGAGATCTATCCAAAACAGGAAAAATCTCCTCCTAGACAGTTGTCACTGAAATAAATGTCCCTTCTGGAAGATTTACCCTCTGGTGACAACTCACTTTTTCTCACTTTCACTCATGGTGACAGAGGTCTCTAAAACTCACAGAGAGTGTGAATCTCCCATTGAGGACAAAGGAACTAGGCAAACTTAATGTGATACTTAACAGGGCTGGATCTAGTCCATCTGATCTGGGGGTTCAGGTAAAAAGTCAGGGGGCATAAGGTCAGTCAGTCAATGACAGTCTGTCACACAGTGTGATAGAGAACCCGTATTCCTGTTCATCCAGTGTGCTGATGTACCTGGAAGTAACATCTCACAGGTAGTGCAGAGGCGGTGCAGGGGTGCAGAGGGAACAATAGTAAGTCACCCCTTACATCAGGTGTCCCTATCAGTTACCCCCTATCAGGTGTCCCCATCAGAGTCCCACTCCACATCAAGGTTCCCATCAGTTTCCCCCCACATCAAGATCCCCATCAGAATCTCCCCTCACATCAGAGTTACCATCAGAGTCTCACCTTACATCAGGTGGCCCCATCAGAGTGCCCTTTTACATCAGGTGTCCCCATCAGAGTGCCCCTGTAATTCACGATCCCCATAAGAGTTCCACCCCACTTCAAGGTCACCAGAGTCCTACTCCACATCAGGGTCCCCATCAGTGTTCCCACCCCACATTAAGGTCCCCATCAGGGGACCCTCCCCGCTCATCAGGCTCCCCATCAGAGTTCCACACCACATAAAGTTTGCCCTCAGAATCCCCTCCCCCACATCAAGGTCCCCATCAGAGTCCCACCCCCACATAAATGTCCCTGTCAGAATCCCCTCCCCCACATCAAGGTCCCCATCAGAGTCCCACCCCACATAAAGGTCCCTGTCAGAATCCCCTCCCCCACATCAAGGTCCACATCAGAGTCGTCAGGTATCTCATCAGATTGCCCACTTAGATCAAGTGTCTCCGACAGAGCTCTGCCTTACATCAAAGTCCCTATGAGAGTCCCCCCTTACATTAGCTGTCCCCATCAGGCTGGCTCATGCATCAATGGATGCACTCTCAGAGACTTTGGGGTGCACAACTAAAATCTGGGGGGGGGGGGGCACAGCCCTCCCCAACACCCCCCTAGATCCGGGTCCAATACTAAATGTTCAATTTTACCAAACCTGCCAATACTTAACAATGGTTTTTGCACAGAGCAGCCCGACACTCCTGTTCTCAGGTTCTCCACTGGCGCTTCTGGCTCCTCCCCCCTGATGACTCTTGCAAGCAGTTGCAACAGAAATGGAAACTTCACAGAATTTCTTACATTCCTCACTTTATTCATAAAACAAAACTTGGCTGGAGTTGGACTTTAAAGCATCACCCTCGAGATGATTATAAATTCATCACCTTGTAAACGCAGGAATTAATGCTCATTTCTCCCAGAATTAATTTGACAAAGTTCGTACTCTGCATATATTTCACAATTTTCAAAAAACATATATTATGTAGATAAGATCAACGATTTCTTGTCATTCTACACCTGAGCAACAAAATTAGGCATTCTGAGAGATTTCCATAACTTTTATTATAAATGCTTCAGGAGACTTGGCTGTCAGTTGTTTTTTTTTTTTGACAAGAAAAGGTACTTAAATATTTGAACAGCATATCTTACAGAAGGTTCCGTAAATCTGGAATCTCTGTTAGTACTACAAGTTCTCATCATGTCTTTTTCAGCAATAAACTGGCTATTTAGTTATGTACAGTTCTATTTATTATTAGCGATAGCGATAGATAGATAGATAGATAGATAGATAGATAGATAGATAGACTATAGGGGTAGATAGATAGATAGATAGATAGATAGATAGATAGACCTATAGGGGATAGATAGATAGATAGATAGATAGATAGATAGATAGATAGATAGATAGACTATAGGGGATAGATAGATACAGATAGATAGAATAGATAGATAGATTCAGATAGATGACAGATAGATAGATAGATCGATAGATAGATAGATAGATAGATGATAGATAGATAGAAAAATAAAATATAGGGGATAGATAGATAGATAGATATAGATAGATAGATAGATAATTGATAGAATAATAAAATATAGGGATAGATTAGATAGATAGATAGATGATAGATAGATAGATAGATAGAAAAATAAAAGATAGGGGAGATAGATAGATATAAGATAGATAGATAGATAGAAAGATAGATAGAAGATAGAATAAGAGAATAGTAGATAGATAGATAGATAGATAGATAGAATAGATAGATAGATAGATAGAATTAAAAGGGGGGATAGATAGATTAGAAGATCAGAAAGATAAGATAGTAGAAGATAAAATAGGGGACAAAAAGATCGAAGAATGATAAGATAAATAATAGATAAAAAAATAGGGGAATAGATAGATCAATAGAATAATAGATAAAGATAGATATAAAGATATGAATAATCCAGAAAAAAAAAAGAAAAAGAAAAAAAGATAGAGAAAAAAAAAAAGTAAGCAATGACAGCAGAGGGTTTAGGAAAAAAAGGCGAAAAATAAGAAAAAAGGGTAAAAGATAGGGAAGTGCAATGGTGAAGCATAGAAAGGAATAGGGATAAAATGCGGGTAAAAAAAAACAGAAAGGGATGATTAGGAAAAGAAATGGGAAAAATAGAATTAGAGAGACAGATAAAAAAAAAAATAAGATAGAAAGAAAAAAAAAAAAAGGAAAATAAAAGGTTTGGTGTGGTAATAGTTGGGGGGGGGGGTGCCGGGGTAGACAGTGCTTAAAGGGCACACCCCGAAAAATAAGGCACAATGGTTAACAGAGAGAGTTAAAAAAATTGGTAAAAAAAAAATTGAGAAAAATGGATGGGGTATGTTCAAGCACGCAAGGTAAGAGAAGTACAAGCGTAAAAAAAAAAACAGGGAAAAAGGGGAAAAGTGTTAGGCCATTGGTGGATGAGAGTGGGAGGTGGACAGTAATGCAGGAAAAAAACAAAAGT